CCATACGACCAGTGCGGACCAAGATAAGCTGGCACATCTGAGTGCCGACTGATCATGGTCTGCATTGTTAGCTATACAGTCAGTAACTCATTTTGAAATTTTCCTTATAAACGATGAATGGTTGAAAGATATTAAGCATGGTAAAGGTTTGAGAATGTCTTACCATCTTGGTTTATTTTCAGGTTCACATCAGAGCCGACGTTTAACGTCAACTGAAGGCCGCCAAGAGAATCGTCATCGTAGACTGCAACTCTCGTCACAACAAAATCAGGTTGAACGTTCTCGTCCACATCGACCGTGTAGTAATTCTGGGAAAATCTTGGTGGAGTATCGTTAACATCTTGTAACTCTATATGTGCCTAAAATGAACAAACAGACATCTCTTGTAAGGGTTTTTGTATGATAATTTCTGTATCATGCCCGATAGAAATATAAAATTATTTAATATTTTGTGTTGGTTATCTAAAATCTATATTGGTCATTGATATTTTGCTCTATATTTCTATGCTTCTTTTCAAAGCTTCATCTTTGTATAAACTACATTTGAGCCGCGTCACGACAAAACCAACATAGTGCGTTTGCGACCAGCATGGATCCAGACCAGCCTGCTCATCCGCGCAGTCTGATCAGGATCCATGCTGTTTGCTTACCAACCCTTTTACAAGTAAAGAAACTGATAGCGAACAGCATGGATCCTGATCAGACTGCGCGGATGCGCAGGCTGGTCTGGATCCATGCTGGTCGCAAACCCATTATGTTGGTTTTGTTGTGACACGGCTCATTTATTACTTTAGCATTATCGTCAGACTTGCACTCTGACATTTCATCACAAATTAATTCTGTTTCTCATGTTCTCTGTGCTTTTGATTGGCATTTCTGAACGTAGGCTGACAAATAGGTCACCAAAGATTAAACTTTTTCCGTCACCCATCAATAAAGATCATAATCTTCATAATAACCTCTATAGACGTAACAAGTCTTGTTACGGTTTTGCAATGGTCTTGTAACCGTCTTGCAACGGTCAACTTTTCAGATTATTATTTTCATAACATATTTACATCCGTTTTAGTAAGGGTCAATAAATCTGGTATGATATTACAGATTTGTATATAATACTCAAGACTTAAAAGGTTTCCCGTCACTTCATCGGACAAAAGTTGTTGTTCTGTAAATCGTTGTTTAAATCAATTTATGGACTATCATGTCGGGTCACTGCTAATGTATAAATATAATCTAAATACATTATGCTCGGCCCATAATCAATATAATCCTGACCTAAATCTGATATAAATACATATTACAAACTGATCAATTGAAAAAAAAATAATCATGAAATGAAAACTTTTCAATTCATTCATTTCAATTTGATATAAAACTGTCATCTGTGAAATATAAAAACTATGAAATGCAAGGTTACTCAACTTCTATTCCATTACAATTAATTCTGTATTTCAATTGATTTTATCTTAAATACATTATGATCAAAATGAAATTTGACACTTATAATGAAACGGTTATCAACAAAAAGTAGGTAACCAGTAAATAATCTCCACACATTTTTCTTTATTTATTTAGATGGGAAAGAAGATTGAAGATGAGAGCAAAGGGGATTGTAATGGGGCAGTCATTTCTGATGAGGGCAAAGGGTATTTTTATGGGGTATTCAGTTCTGATGTGGGCAAAAGGGATTGTAATTGGGTAGTCAGTTCTAATGAGGGCAAAGGGGATTTTAATAGGGTAGTCAGTTCTAATGAGGGCAAAGGGGATTTTAATAGGGTAGTCAGTTCTAATGAGGGCAAAGGGGATTTTAATAGGGTAGTCAGTTCTAATGAGGGCAAAGGGGATTTTAATAGGGTAGTCAGTTCTGATATTCTTTTAAAGACACAAAATACATTAACACTGCATGTCTACAAACATCAAGGTCAAAAGTTAAACAAGCTAAAATCTATGAAACATGAGTTTTAACTAAAAGGAACAAACATGTTATTGACTGTGGTAAAATGGCTAAAGATGGCCTGCAATTCCCAATGGCTTCAATTCTCTCCTAAATATCATATTCTTCTGATATTCCCAGGCCGTAGCATTTACTAAAGATACTGCAGGTCATTTTTAAGTAACACCACAGGATCATGATGAAATGGACATTGATTTCTAATTATATCCACAAGTGTTTTCTAATTGGATACTTTGCCTGCATGTTCAATGGATATCTTGTCACTTCCTATTTAATATTCCCAATGGTTGTCAGAAACCTCAAAGCAAAATAAGGACCATCTGTTAGCATTATCTTTATTTAAAAGAATAAAATATGATGTTTTCCTTATTAACATGTTGCATAAACTGTTCTTAAGTCTTTAACATTAATTTAAAATAAAAAAAATCTTCATCCAACCAACTATAGTCAAAAGCCATTGTCAGACTCCCTGACAACCAAATTCTTTTTGTCTTTAGAAGGTCTATTTAATTTACTACTTAAAAATTTCATTGCTATCTTAGGCTCAATAAAAATAACTAGTACTTAGCTAGCTTTTAAAGAAGTTTGAAATTATCTTCACATCTGTTACTTTGTACAAATAATATCTTTATTCTGATTATCAATAACATTGTAACCTGAATTACTTTCTGATTGTTTCATGCCAGAATGACATTATTTGAAAATTATTACATCATTTTGATTTTCTTTTGAATAATTATAACTTTTAAATGTTGTTTTTTTTCTGATTGACATCTTTTTAAACTTGTAATAAAATAATGAACATATTTTGGCCAACTTAATTATCATAAATCAAAGTACATCCCTAAATTTATAATTCATACTAAATGCCCTTAAAAGTACAAGCTTGCAGTACATGTAAAAAAAATCAAAAAAAAATCAAAGAAAATAGATCAATAAATCAATTTCTAAACACAATTCTGAATTGGTTATAGGTAGCTATTAAGAGATTTTGATTTTCCATTTATGCACCTAAACTTTCAACACAACACATTTAGCGAACAATTTAATAATTATATCTGTGTGCCGTTACAATCACTTTGATGGCATCCGTCAAAAAGTGAAATTTTACCGTGTCTCTTTCTTCGAGACAGTTAAAACTATTAAACTATTAAATTGTTTCAAATGACTGAATATATACTAAATTATTAATATTTTATTTCTTCTCCCCTTAGGCATTTTATTTTAATAGCTAAATTAATCGCTAAAGGCACTGGTTTTTTTCCTTATTGTTTAACATATGTTATGTGTTATTTTCTAAGCTTTTATTTTTTCTAATTATACAATGCCAATGAATGGGTATTTTATATGTTGAATAATTATAAGCATTTTATCACATTTTCAAGTTTTAGATTAGATTATAATAAAACATTTTATGCAAGCATGTATAAGAATTTTTATATCAATCAATTTTAATTTGTTAATTACTGATGTGAATTACTTCCCTTTATTCTTAACACTATAACAGAAAAAAAAATTAACAATATTATCCACAAAATTTAAATTTTAATGACAGGTGAAAAAAAATGTGTCCATCAATAAAAATCAGCCATACATAACCAATGAGGGGACAGAAGATAATTATGCAAAATGGAAAATATTTAAAGAATGTCTCATTGTAACAAGGGGTGAATGCATTATCTCATTTTTAAATCATAAATAATTTCCAATAAGATAATTTCCAATATATTTTTTTAAAATTTCCTTCAATAAGCAATACCTGCAATAACTAATAAGGAATAAGCAAAACCAAGTACCTATAAAAGGCAATACAAATACCTAATACTCAATATAAAAATATTCTATGCTCAATCAAACTCAGAGCCTGCAACATTTACAATTTTGTTGTTTTGAGCATCATTTAGGGATTCTGTTTTTTTCTCTATTTCTATAAGTAAAGGTTGCTGACAAAACAAGAAAAAATTTCTATTAACAATTCTATATAGTCAATTACATCCTCTTTAAAATTGCAAACATCACTTCATCTGAATTTGATACAGTTATCCAAAATACAGATTCAAACATTTGTTTTTTTTACTCAACATGTTCCAATATTCTTACAAATGTTCTACTATTATTTCATATTGACCTTGAAAACAATTGGGCACAGCTTTGTTTACTTTTGTGCCACAGCTGTTTCTTTGATACCTTTGACCAAAAATCTGCCACATACAAATCTATTGTATAGTACTGGATTGTTCCCCTACTTCTAAAACAAAGATTCAAATCAATTTTCTCAAATCAGTTGCTCTTTTAAATCCAGTGACATTGAACTTAAAGATACATGTAGCAATGAATTAAAGCACAAACTTGATGTGCTGCCTTGACCAGCTCTGTTTGAATTCACTCACGGTAGCATTTTATTTGGCATACAAGTACACAATTAAGTTTATTCTCAGTCACAATCTTTAAGGCATGTTGATCAAAAAAGTACCGAATGATGAAATATAAAAATGCAATGAGCTGGCTAAAAACATCAGAAAAAAGATTCCCGAATGACAAGCTTGTAATTGCCGAATATCATGTTCTAAATGATGTGTAACCCCCAAGTAGCCAAAGACTACCAATCACTGATAAACAGATTTTGCATTATCAGTTTTGCACCATGTATTTTACAAACCAACCGACATCTGACCATCTGTTAATGTATCAAACAGACTTTCTAAAAACTTTCTAGACCAGTTTGTTTCTTTGAAATAGAAAGCACAATAGCAAAAATGCCTAAAATATTGATTCTCCATACTTTTTTCAGCACATTTCACAAATTTTTCTTTATTCATTTATTTTCATTTTTCATTTCATTAACAAAAACAGTGTTATCTTCTCCAAAACAGGCAGCTATGGAATGTCTATAAACTACAGGGAGGAGACAACAGAAATGTAAATGAGGTGGTCCGAGAGATCAGTCAGATGATTTGAGATGACATGCATATCATTGCAGAGGATCACTTTTTAAATGAGCCGAGACCTACTGAGACCTCCCGATTCAAAGACATCCTGCCAGGTTGAACAAGCTCCCCTATCAATATTGCACCGCCTCTTTACCAGACAGTTACATTCTGACCATCTGTTAAATGGATTTTGCAGCCTTTTTGGAAGACACCATGCCACCGCTAAAAACTGCTAAATGAGCCAAGCCAATCAGACAATGTCAAGAGGGTGTCAAGCCCTCGTAAATCATAAACCGCATCTTTCCCTGTCTTTCTTCGATATCCATATCTTTCCTCAGCAACTGTAGCCGATATTAATTAATTCAAATATTGGCAATGTTCAAAGAAGCCGGTAAATGACCAGTGACAAAACTCATCCATCTTTATGACAACTGATTGACAAACGAACATTTAAAGATCAAAAACATCAAGGCAA